AAAACTAACATTTTTTGCAGGTATCAGCATATACAGAGTGATTTAGGATCGCAGAACGTCTTAAATCATTCTCCGTCCCTATCGGCTACTTTGACTATCGTTTTCAAAACTGACGTTTCTACAAATTCAGTCAAAGTGGGGGGGCTTCTGTAGACACCTAAAAATGTCTCCCCAAAACCAAACCCGATGATGAACAACCTTTCATCGCCACTATTGGTCGGGTTCAGTATTTAATCCCTAGAGTGCTTAAAAAATCGTATTTAATTAAACTCATATTTTTGAATAGTCCATGGATTAGTCTTGATGTTTGGTTAAAGCATAGTTTTAATTTCAGCCCAAACTTATTATTTAATTTCAGCCCAAACCTTTTTTTTATTTTACAGCTTTATTATTTATTTTGGCCCAAACTTTTTATGTATTTTATTTTTTTTAGCCCAAATAATAATAAAATTAGAAAATGGCCCGAAATTATCAATCGACACTTAAAATGTTGAACGAAATTAGGGTTAAAAATGAATTTAGACGGAAAAGCGGGCTGAAAATTCCCGCGTCACGGCAACAGTCCACCGTGTCACGGGAATCTTTCCCGTCTGACGGTGGGATTTCCCATGACACGGGAATTTCCGTGTCCTTTCCGCGTAAACCCTTAACGCGTTTTCTCCCCCGTTCACTAAATATTTCCCGCGTCACACAAAATGTGAACCGTGTCACGGGAATGTTTCCCGTGTGACGGTGGGATTTCTCGTGTCACGGTACACTTTGTCGTGTCGCGGGATACTTTTTTAAGGTTTTTATCATTTTAGGGTTCCGTGTCACGGTACACTTTGTCGTGTCGCGGGATACTTTTTTAGGGTTTTTATCATTTTAGGGTTCCGTGTGTTCCCTCAGCACATTTTTTCTATAAATACCCCCCTCATTTCTGATGTACAGGGCATCAATTAATTCTCTAGTTTTTTTCTCTCTTCTATGCTCTAGCCTAAACACTAGCCTACCCTTATTCTTTCAAAATTCCTTCTTCAAGCACTCTCAGGAGTCCATATTTTACTTGTAGTTCTGTCCTTAAGCCAAGGCGTGAAAGATAGAACTGTTTGAGGGTTTGGCCCCAAATCAATTCTATTTAATTTAATTTAATTATTGTTTTATTATTATTTCCTTGAAGTTACTAAATCGTTTATTAATTTGTAGTTGCAAACAAACAAAATCAAAGTAAGAATTATGTTCCTTTTATTTCTATTATTTTTCTATCGATTTTGTATTGTTAGAATTATTGTTAAGTTGCTTCCAATATTGATGTTATTCTATTATTATTATTTTTTATCACCATATTGCATGTTAAAGGGAATATGTAATTGAAAATCACGCCTAATAAAATAATTTGGACAACCGGTTTAGGTTCCTTTTTAATCTTGTTGTTCAATTCAAGTGATCACAAATATTTTAGAATTATGTGTTGCATGAATATTCAACCAATTTAGCATAATAATAGTTTGGAGCAAATTGAATTTTTTTTTGTATGCCTTTGAGATCGCAGGAATCACTTTTCACTATAAGAATCGAGTAGAGGCCAATGCGGTCGAATGTGACTCCATGACTCACTTCGTACCATCATTCCCGATCCTCCTTTCGTGGTTCCGAACCATATGGAGTTAGTAATCCCATGGATTATGAATGGGGTGTAACCTTCACAGGTCAATCGTTGTTGCCTATCGTTGTCCCTTAATCGTGATTTCCTTTTTATGATCCGTGAACGGTTTACAAGTTTCTTAAAAACTTGTTGGCGGCTCCCTACTTTATTTGTCCCTAATCATATATATGTGAATTCCCACTTCCTATGAGTGCCAAGCATATTCACACATTGTTAACGTAGGCGCACTTCGAATGACGCCTACAACACTAATTCACAATTCCAATAAAATTCAGACAAATTTCATGCACAAGTTCACCAAACTTAAGCAAGAAACTAATCACAATTCTCTAACTCCAATAACTAATCATAAAAAATCTACCAATTAATTCTCAATAGTAAGTAAATTTGTTTTAATTCACCTAATCATGCAATTACTCACACAACATTCATGTTATAAACAAATTTAAGGGGATTAAAGAAGAACCCTAAGGTTTAAGAGGGAAAGTGAAGTAGAGAAGATGATTTTACCAATTAGAGTATGAAAATACTCTAAATTCCTCCAACTTTTCCCAAATTGGCTCCTTCTCTACCAAACTTAACCCTTTTTCTTCTTTGTTCGTTAATTTGAATTCGTGGGTCTTTAAACTTTTGCCCAAATTTGTGATAAATTGTGATTTTTGGAGAGAGAATTTGATGGAGATAGAGGATTTATGAATTTTTAGTGAAGAAAATGAGGATTTGATGAAGAAATTGAAGAGAGAAGTTTGGGAATAAGGGTTTTTAGAGTGAGAAGTAGATGGGTTTAGAGGAGACATAGTAAGAATGTGAAAATGAGTGGTGAAAAGGGTGAAACAAGATAAAAGGAAAGAAAAATAATCTCTTTTTTTTACCCGAACAGGTCGGAGCGGGCGTGCAGGGTGAGGAGTTCCCGCTCCAGACCTAATGGTCGAATTTTATTTTAGAATTCATGTGAGGAGCGGGTGTGCAGGGTGAGAGGAGCGCTCGCTCTAAATTATATTTTGGCTATGGCATTTGCGAGGAGCGGGCGTGTAGGTGTGATTGAGCGCCCGCTCCTTCTCATGTTCTTGGGTTCTGTTTTTCCTTTCCACGACGGAGCGGGCGTGCTGAACACTCGAAGCGCCTACTCCTATCTTTGATTTTGAATCTGACTTCCTTCACCTGTGAGGAGCGGGCGTGCATGGTCTTTGGAGCGTTCTCTCGAAATCTTCTCAAATCTTCCTGTTTTCTTTAAAAACCTCACCCTGTGAGGAGCGGGCGTGCATGGTCCTTGGAGGGGGTGCTCCTATCCTTGCTCTGTGAGGAGTGGGTGTGCTTCAACTTTGGAGCGCCCGCTCCAATACTTCACCAAACATTTTGTTTGGTTTTAAAACAAGACCCTTTGAGGAGCGGGTGTACTTGCAAGAGGAGCGTCCGATCCTCGTAGTCTGTAAGCCTTATGATTTATGTATAGAACTAAGAGCGGGCATGCAGTCATGGTGGAGCGCTCGCTCGTAGCTGCTTACAGCTTTTTAGCTTCTTTTTCTTTGCTTCCTTTATCCCCAAGTTCCTACATCAAAATCACAAGATTAAAATTCAACCAAAATGTTAGCCAAAATAAAATATCAACATCACTCTTCTCTGTTTTCTTACTCACTCATTTTTTTATTTCTCATTCTCTATCTCTTGTCATTTTTTTCTTTTCTTTTTTTTTTTTTTTTTTTTTGCTCGGGTTGCCTCCCGGAAGCACTTCATTAATGTTAATATGTTGACGACCTCCACATTGAGAAGGTAAGATTACATTTTATTAATTCAACCAAGCCGACATGAGCACCCACGTAGTAAAGCTTGAGGCAATGCCCATTTACCTTAAAATATCCTATTCCATCCAAAACCCAAACTTCCACAATTCCATGAGGAAACACCTCTTTGAGAACAAAAGGACCACTCCACCTTAATAAAAGTTTCCCGGAAAACAATTTCATCCTAGAGTTGTTGAGGAGTACCTTATTGCCTTTAAGCAATCCTTTGTGCGATTCTTGTAGTTGCTAGCACACTCATAGGTCTCCAATCTTAGCTCTTCAAGCTCATGTAAATCAAGCAATCTTTGCTCTCCCGCACTAGCCAAGTCAAAGTTAATTTTCTTTATTGCCCATTGAGTTCGGTGTTCATGTTCCACAGGACGATGACAAGATTTTTCATACACTAGACAATATGGAGTTGTGCCGATAGGGGTTTTGTAGGTCGTTCTATATGCCCATAGGGCATCATCAAGTTTTTCCGACAAATTTTTCCTATTTCATGCAACCGTATTCTCAAGTATTAACTTGATTTAACGATTGGACACTTCAGCTTGTCCACTTGTTTGTGGATGATAGGTAAGGTTGAACCTTTGGTTAACCATGTGCTTTCTTAGCATCGTTTGAAAAGCACCATGAATAAAATGTGAACTGTTGTCACTTACCACATCTATATGAATTCCGAATCTTGGTAATATGACTTTCTTGAACAATTTTATAACTACCTTGTGGTCATTAGTTGGGGAGGCAATGGCCTCAATCCATTTTGAGACGTAATCAACCGCCACAAGGATGTATTGATTTCCACAAGAAGTAGGGAATGGTCCCATGAAATCAATACCTGTAGACACCCATTTGTGTCCCCCCAAAAAAAATTCCAGTGATGAATACCTTTCGCGTCGAATCATAATCGAATGAAGTGAAAGTGTGGGAAGTCTACTGTTGCGGTTAGTTTTTACTAAAAATCACTCTTTCTGTTTTATGAAAACCTACTCTATTTTATGAAAATAGTCAATCGAGCTTTAGTTTGGTCCATGATAAGGGTCCAATAATAGTGTAGTTATATAGGGCTCAAAAAGAGCTTTCCAACGATATATTATAAGCCCAATTCCGATGAATAATGAGGAAGTTATGGCCAAATTACTAAACTGGGCCCGTTTTAATCTTTATATGCGGCCCAATGATCTAGAGGAGGGCCTATTATGAATTATCATTTCTAATGCAATTATGATTGATTATAGTCTTCTAGAAGGTTCTTTTAAATCCTAATGTGATTAAGATTGATAATTAACTTTTATGAGTTTTATTTGGAATAATCTTAGACATGTTGTCGAAAATAAATTGGAGAAAGAAACTCAATTTTTGCAAAGAAATTGCTTAAGATTGTCAAAATTACCTCAAAATAATCGAGGGATTGAGTCGTCAGTAACAATTGAGCAAGCTAACCCTAGATCTGATGGTTTTTTAGGAGAGAGAAAATGAAGAGTGACTCCGACAATTTCAAATCTACGACAAAGCGAAGCAATTTGCGCAAAATTAACATGAGGCTTTTGTACAGGGGACTATTTAAGAGGGAATCATGTAAATTTCGTGAGATTTGAAGCAACAAGCCATGAGAATTAAGGAGAGAGAGTGGCGGAGGATGAAGAAGAGAGGAGAGAGAGTACGTGGTGGAAGAACCCAGAAATTTAATGGAGAGAGAAAATATTCAGAGAAAAGGAGTAGAAAAGGAGAGAAAGAGGGAGTACAAAGAACTAATTATAGGGTATTAAAAGTACTCCGAAAAAGAGACGAAAGTACACTTATCCCTAAATATAATATTCCAATTCAGCCTAAAATGAGGATAGATTCGTCATTTAAAAACTAAGATGAGGGTATTATTTCAAAAAATATAGTCCAAAAATAGAAAGATTCCCCTAATAGATCAATCATTTTGAGACACCCAAAATAGTATATTTGCCTATAATTATAGGACGGAGGGGGTAGAAGATAAACATTGAACAAACAATATCCAAAATCACAGTTTGAATGCTAGGTCATTTGTGAATAACAAGAAAATAGTTTGGACAGCGGAAGAGAAGCTGAGAAATACTTAGTTTACTCACAGGAAAAATACCAGTCACGATCATATATGTGCTGATGAAAAGCTATAAGGATGGGCAATTTGACACTTGTAGGAATGCTTGTATCGTCCTCTGCACATGAGTACCAAACCGAAAAGCAATTAGAGATAAGATACATACTATAGAGTTATAGTAATTTTCTCTCTCATGCCGCCTACTCTACTATTCAATGTACTTAACTCTCTATTAACTTCTCACTTTTTTCTGGGGTTTTCGGATTCAAACTCAACTCTTTGTGTTTCATTCGTGTTCTTCAGATAGAGAATTGTTGAAGATAACCGAGGATGAGTTTACTAGCCTTCCTATCTATGTTAGTCCTTTATTTATTTCTAGATTTGATTTTTTTTTTTAATTACTAGACGTAATTTTTAATTTTGTTAATTGTTCTGGAATTTTAAATTGGGGTTTGCGCTTTGATGATGATGATGCACTTAGTATTTGAAATAGTTATTGGGTTTAGTAAAAGATGTGCATCGTGTCGTGCCGTCGCGGGCCGTGCTTGATTGTGCCGGGGTGAGGCTCGCGTTGTGCCGTGCCATGCCGGCTTGGTGTCGGGCCGTGCCGTGCCAAGTTTTGGCACACCCTACCCCTGCACGGCACGACCCACGTGCTTAGCGGGCCGTGCCGCGGGCCACCACGGTTTTTTATTTTTTTTTTATTTTTAAAAATATATATTTTATACAAAATCGATATATATATTACAAAATTAACGTGCCGGCGGGTCGTGCCGGCTGGCCGTGCTGGCGTGCCGACGATCGTGCCCGTGCCGTGTCGTGCCAAATTTCAAGATTTGTGTTCACGGCACGGCCCACGGCCCACAAGTGGACCGCCATGCCGGGCCGTGCCGGAATCGTGCCGGGCTCGTGCCGGCACTGCCCATGCCCACCTTTAGCCGGTTTACAAATCTATTTAAGTTCTTCTATTTTAATCTGGTTAAAATCTAACTTTCTTTTTCTATTAACTTATCTACTCGAGCCACTGTCTTGAACTCAATTTGGATTATATTATGAAATTTCAAAAGTAGTGATTTGTTGTATGTAATAGAAATATATTTAACTTTGTTAGTGTTACAGTTTAAAGATATATGAGCATGTTACATACCACATGTGATAGCATAGTTATTCTCCTTGAGAAATATGATAACATATTAAATGCTTTACCTCTGGGAAATTGATTCCTTGACATTCAGCAATGTTACTAATACAATACTTTGATACTTATTTTTACCTCAAATTTGATATTATTGCAGAACTTATTCGTGTATGGATACGAGGCAATTTTCAACCTTTTCGCCATGGTGGGAATTGCTTTGGTTAAAGATATGACGAAAGCAATTGCTTTGGTAAAAGATCAAGTCCTTATTCTTGTATGCTTTGTTATCTGCCACACAAATGATTGTAAATGATATTAATGCTCTGGCTAGTTCTTTTATTTCGTGTTCTTTTTGCTTTGCTAATAGATGTTGTAATAAAGTGGCCCACTCTATTTCAAGACTTGCCCTCTCCTTCGATGACGACTTGATCTGGATGGAAGATTGCCCACATGATGTACCGTTGGCTGTTGCTTCAGACAAAGCCTTAATATAATTTTCATAAGCTTCCTTGTCTTATCTTTTTGTAATGAATAACATTTAGCTTTTAATCTAGGCTTTTTGCATTTGTTTGGATGCTAGAAGTATTATATATAATTTTTTGAGTTATATTTGAGAAATTAATTTATAAGTGGGTTTGGATTAAATTTAGAAAAATTGAGGTTTTTGAGTTAGTTTAAAAAATCTCAGAAGGGGTTTCTTGATTTATGAAAGTTAATATATTTTTTAGCTATTTGATTGGGTTACTTTAATTATTTGAAAGTGTTTATATTCCTATGATTTGTAGTTATGTGTGCATATACTTTGTATGAATTATGTAATCTGTTAAATTGAAGCAATAAATTTGGATATTCAGGCAATTGGAGCTGAATATGGAGAGGGTTTTGAGACATTCTAGCACTACCTCTATGATTCTAATAATTTTTTGGTTACTGTTACTGAAAAAATTATATATAATGCTTCTGAAAAAATTATATATTTTTATGAATGTTTGGATTTTTTTAGGCTTAATGCTAGAAGAAATTTTAATGGAACTCTGCAAGCACATGTAAATTTGGCATTGATCGATGTTAAACTGATTTGGTTGTTGTTGCTCTAAGTAAGAACATATTAAGGCACAAGCTAAGTACTCTGAAATAAAGATGCACAGTAATTTATACAATCTAGAACTACCCCCGAAGATGGGAAAAATGAACCTGATCAAGAAGGGCTCAACATAGAGCATTAGGCTCTTTCATAATCCAGATAAAGATTCCAGACCAAGGTGGAACAAGTCTGAATTACAAGGGGTTGGAATCAAATGTAAAGCCGTGTTTCCAGTACACTTGCAAAGAAAGAGATTCCAAACCCAAAGTGTTCAAATTATACATGTTATTTTCCTTGTATACAATGTGTTATTATTGTTACCACTGAAAATTTCTTGAACTCTTTTCTTTAGTTTTGGTTTTTTCTTTTAGGTTATGATTATATGTGTATAAATATTATTCTTATGGTTTTTTTTTTTTTAAAAATAGTTCTCATAATAATGATCTATGATTGTTGGTCTGGCACATGCTGGATATTTTTTTTTTTTGGATCACAAACTATTTGTAACGGGCAAAACTGAGCCCGTTACAAATAACCCCGTTATTTGTAACGGACATTTGAAATGCCCATTAAAATAAGGGGTCATTGGTAACGGACATTTGAAATGCCCATTACAAATAAGTAATAAGTAGTTATTTGTAACAGGCAAAACATGTGTCCGTTATGAATAACTACTTATTTGTAACAGACAAGTGTCCGTTACAAATATCTTTTTCTATCCATAACGCTCGCAAACGTAACGGCCGTTGCCCGTTATAGATAGGTGGTTTTTCCCGTTACGGATGGCTTTTTTTCAACTAGTGTTTGAATAAGCTTGGGGGTGTTGTGTTTTTCTTTGGTGATTACTTGGTATTGGTGTTGAGATTTGGCCAATCTTTGCTTTACGAATTAGGTATACCACCAAATTTCAAATTTTAGCCTACCCTCACCCTTTTCGCTCATACATTACAACCCTTTCCAAGACCTTTTGACCTTTATGGTTAAGTCACAAGTTTGTGGAGGGAGATGTAGGTCATGCTTATAGAGCTGTATGCAATAGTTGAGACGTTAAGTAGCCTTAAATCTCTTTCATTTTCAGGTTCCATCAAGGAACCATTGAAATGCTCACTAAAGGTAGATTAGAAGCTAATTAGGAGAATATGCTAAAAATGTTTTGAGATGAAAGGTGATCGTGTCTTGATAGTTCTTTATGCTTAGCATGTTTTATGTTTCAATCAACCTAGCTTAGATATCTCGGAACGTGTTCAAAGACAGTTAGATATAATTTTCGTGCCTCATAATATTTATCCAAATTTTATATGGTTGGATAGATCTTGAAATTATCTTTCCAATGATATATTATAATTTTAAATCCGAGCTATAACGAAAAAGATATGAATAGGATATGAAACTCTATCCAAAACTGACACCGTCCTACTATTTCGGCCATATCTTTTTAACTAAAAAATATTTTAATCTGATTCTAATTGGGTTGGAAAGTAAACTTCAATATCTTTCCAAAGAAATATTATATTTCTTATTTGGGCTTCTGGATCAAAAGATATGATAAAAACAAAATCCGCAAAAACTGCTGTCCATCCAGTTTTAATTCGATTCGAATTCGGATTATTTTCTTATTCTTCGACCCTCTTTTTTCTCTATAAATAAAGATCATATCTCCCATTTTTCAATCACCAACTCTCATAAAGAATTTCTTGATTCTCTCCCTCTTTCTAGCCTAACTTTTTACAAACACAATTCCTCTACATTAGAACTAGACATACCTAGCATTGTTCGAAGTTGCCTTGGCCCTAGACGTGAAAGGTTTTAATTTCTGAGGGTTTGGTCCCAAATCTAGTCTAAACTTTCTTAATCTCTCTTTCAATTATTTAATTTAATTGTTTATTTTATATTTTCCTTGAAATTACTAACGCGTTTATTTTGTTATTAGAGAGAGGTACGAGACATCCAAGTAAGTGTTTTAATGGTTTTATTGATATTATGATATAGAAATCATGTTTAGGTTATTATTATGATTCCTAGTGTAATGTTAGGGCGTTTTGATCTTCTTAGTATCATGTTTAGAGTAATAACTATAATTTCTAATATCAAATATGACAATTGTGATTTCTGCTATGCTTCTTATCCTTTCCTAATAGCATGTTAGTATAATATTAGGGTTAAAGCTTTGATTTTTATTGCTTAGTGACATGCTAGGGTTTGTTATTAATCTTGTTAGTATCATGCCTAGGATCTTGCTATTATGCTTTAACATGATTATTTTAATTATCATTATTATTTTTTATAATTGTTATAATTATTGTGATTATTATTATGTTGCTTGATATTATTTATTGTTATTACTTGATCACACCTTTTATGCATATTTAAAGGGAATTAGTACTTGTAATCACGCTTAATAAAATAATTAATAATCTTGTTTAGGGTTAATTTGATTATAATTTAAGTGATTGCCAATATTAGTTTCTTTATGCATTAATATTCAACCAACATAGATAAACAGATTTAGGGTTAATCCTATTGATTGCATTTTAGTAAAAAAACGCACATGAATACGATCAGAATAAAGTAGAGGCATATTATTAGGGCAGGTTTAATTTCTTTTAGGTTGGATTTGTACCTTCATCCCTGAACTACCAGTCATGGTTCCAGACCTATTGGAGTTGACGATCTTCTGGATCGTTAAGGGGTGTAACGTTCACCTTGTGAACTGTTTTCAAGTTCCTAAAACTTGTTGGCGACTCTTTTGCTCTATTTTCTTTCCCTTTGGACGCCACCGTAGTTTAGTGTATGATCACAGTGGGGTTCAAGCTAGGGATAATGCTTGAAATATTCCCTACATTAGCTCTATCATATTATTATATGCTTGTTTGAGAGAATGATGTCTCAAAAAAACTTGAAAAACATCAAAGATAATTCACGGTCAAGCATTATTATTTTTTAACTATATCTTACTTGTGCCACTAGCAGAGAGCATTTCATCTTAATCTAGTAGAGTCGACTATATCTTGGTTGTGCCATTAACAGACCATGATCATATATATAAATAAATTTTGGGGCCATAAAGGTGGTTATAAATACTGAAATAATTTTGCATGAAAATTTAATTAAGGCGACTGATGAATTTATATCCAATGAAAAGCATTAAACCGAAATATTTTGGGTCTATGGCACTAACTATTGATTTTTCAGCACTTATCTAGTGTTTTCTCTTAGAGGGAGTTCTCATTGTTTGTGACTTGTGATTTGGTGATTTTAGCTTGTTTTTTGTAGAGCTACTATATGATTGATTTTCCTTATCTTTTCCATCAACTATTATTATACAACACCCCCAAAAATGTTGAATCATTATTAAGCCCCCAATAATTTCTTCTTTATGAGTGACCAAGACTGAAAAAACAGAAACTAAAGACTAATCATGGCTAATAATGAATTGAGTACCTATTTCTAACGTTGAAGAAACTAATGACTTGTCATAATTAATCTCCTTTCCTTCCATGTTCATTGTTTGTTGGTTTTCTTTTATTATGAATTATTACTCGTAGAATTTTATAATTTAATTGTTGTTTTTATAGTTCTTTTTTATTCATCTACGAGTTGGTTTTACTTTTTTTGGATTTTTTGATCTTTTGATTCACTTACGAAGGCAGACATGGCCTTCTTTGTCATAGACCATAGCAGCCTAGGCAAGATAAATTAACATAAGCTACCTAATAATCTATCTTCAGACAACATATATTCTAATACAATTAAAACAAGGAATTAACCTTTAACTTTTTTTTTCAGTCTAACATGTTTATTTATCCTTCTATGCTAAATTTTAATTGTTGTTAGCTCCAGCTTGCTGGTTGGTTTTGTCTTGGCTTTGGAGAAGAGAGTTGTTCATATCTGTGCAGTATATTGTTGGGGCTCTAATTACAGCAATTGGACCCGATTACAGGATTTTAAATTTAGAGTGGTATGTTTCTTTATTTACGATGTCGGTATTGGAAAAATTATCTCGATGATTCTTCTTTTGCTTGAGAAGTGATTGTATGATACTATGATTTTTACCATATTGTAACTCACATTGCGGTCCAATAAAAAACATGAGTACTTTTAATGATTTTCATTGATACTTTATTTCAGGTTGCATATATAGGATCCAATGGATCAAGATGAAGTATTGGAGTAGCAAGTAACAATGCCACAAGAAAAAAGCTTACATATATATGTAGCTTCCAACTGATGTCTCTTTGCAACTACGCTTCTTACTGTTTTAGGAATTTTGTTTTATGGTCTAGAGACCGAAGTTGACTTTTTTTTGGATTATTATATTTTTGTTGGATTTTTTGTAAGAAAATATAAAATTATATTAATTCAAATTATTGTCTATCGTATATGTTAATTTCACATTCATGGTTGTTGTACATGTTAATATTATGTTAATGTATTTGAAAAAAAAAAGTGCATACATATTTAAAGAATCATAGTATTAGTAGTAGTAGAAATAATAAATGTTATATTAATTAACAAGGTGTTACATTGATTTACAAAAAGTGATACATAATGATGAATAAAGTGATACTATATGTCAAAAGGAGATTGAAAAATGTTACCTAATAATCAATAATGTGTTATATTAGTCTACAAAAGTGATACATAATGTCTAATATAGTGTTAATATATGATTGAAAAATGTTACT